CGCCTCCACTCGCACATACTGGTGTGACCTTGGGCAAGCCGTAGCTCTGATAAGAGCTGTTCTTGAAAAAAAGAGCCGTTTCTGTCAAGAGCTTTCTCAGCCCCACCTACCTCACAGGGTGTCTGTTGTGGGGAGGGGGAGGGAAAGGAGTTTGTAAGCCGCTCTGAGACTCCTTTGGGTAGTGAAGGGCGGGGGATAAACACAATCTCCTCCTCCTCCTCCTTTCTTTCTTCTTCTTTCTTCTTCTTCCTTCTTCTTCTTCTGTGTGCATCTGAAGAAGTATGCGTGCACACAGACGCTTATACCTTCAATAGAACTTGGTCTTAAAGGGGCCAATGGGCTTGAACTTTGTTTTGGTCCATCAAGGTCAGTCTTGCCTACTCAGGCTGGCAGCAACTCTCCGGGGTCTCAGGCTGAGGTCTTTCCCATCACCTCCTGCCTGGTCCTTTTAACTGGAGATGCCGGGGACTGAACCTGGGATCTTCTGCATGCCAGGCAGAGGCTCTGCCATTGAGTCAGAGCCCCTCCCCACACAGACCGTTGGTCCAAGAAGGTCAGTATTGTCTACTCAGGCTGGAAGCAGCTCTCCATGGTCTCAGGCAGAGGTCTTTCACATCACCTACTGCCAGATCCTTTTTTTTCTGGAGCCGCCGGGGATTGAACCTGGAACCTTCTACATGCCAAGCAGAGGCTCTGCTACTGAGCCACGGCCCCTCCCCACACAGACCCTTGGCCCATCAAAGTCAGTATCGTCTGCTCAGGCTCTCCAGGGTCTTTCACACCATCTCCTGCCTGGTCCTTTTTAACAGGAGAAGCCGGGGATCGAACCGAGGACATTCTGCATGCAGAGCTGACGCTCTACCAACGAGCCACCCGCCCCTTCCTCCCCGTCCTGTTAATATCCAGGCAGAACTGTTGAGTTGTCGGGCTGAGCTGTGGCAGGCTTTCCTCCTGTCACCTGCCTGCGTCACAGTTTCTCGTCCGTCGAGTTCACCTGCATTCTGTCGCCCGAGGCCCAGGAAGAAGAAAAGCAGGGGTTAGGGGAATGCCACGCCGTGGCGGATGCAGGCGGCTCGGGAACTCGACGGCTTCCTTCCCCGGTGGCTTTCAGCGGCTGGCCCACAGCCAGCAAACCCGCCTTCCTCTGCATGAGGCCGCAGCCTGTAGGTTTCCTGGAACCGGCCTCAACGGGTTTTTCCCGGGCTGCTGTTAAAGAGTCTTTGGCCCGTTGAGGAGCGAGGCTCCCGGTAGGGGGGCATGCGTCAAGTGGAGAGCTGTCCCCCAGGCCGGGGTCCCGTCAACACCGTATTTCACACACCAGTAGGGTTGCCACCCTCCAGGTGGGGCCTGGAGATCTCCTACTGTTGCAACTGACCTCCAGGCGGCAGAGAATGGTTCCCCTGGAGAAAGTGGCTGCTTTGGAGGGTGGGCTCTGTGGCACTGGGCCATGCTGAGGTCCCTCCCCGCCCTCTCCAGGCTCTGCCCCCGAAATCATCTCCAGGTGTTTCCCCACCCAGAGGAGGTAACCTGACATATCCCACAAGAGCCTGACCCTAAAGGGAGTGGCTCAGAATAATAACCGTTAGTAAGTGTGCAAAGCCTTTCAGTGGCCTGAGCTCGGTACTCTCTCCGCCGTCCCTGCAGGGTAGGAAGGCCAGTGACACCGTCTCCATTTTACGAGAAGAAGAGATTGGATCTATACCCAGCCCTTCACTCAGAGTCTCAGAGCGGCTCACAATCTCCTCCCCCTTCCCCTCCCCACAACAAACACCCTGTGAGGTCGGTGGGGCTGAGAGAGCTCTTTCCAGGACTGCTCCTGAGAGAACAGCTCTGAGAACGTGTGACAGACCCAAGGTCACACCAGCAGCTGCATGTGGAGGAGTCAGGAATCAAACCCGGTTCTCCCAGATTAAGAGTCCGCGCGCCTAACCACTACACCAAACTGGCTGACAAAAGACAGTGTTTTGCCTAAAGGCATCTAGAACTGGTGCTGGAGGCAGGATTTGAAAGAAGTTAAGCTGTAACTATTGGTGTCATGGTTAAGTGCGCGGACACTAATCTGGGAGAACCAGGTTTGATTCCCCACTCCTCCACTTGCAGCTGTCGGATGACCTTGGGGAAGCCATAGTTCTGTCAGAGAACAGTTTCTGTCAGAACACTCTCAGTCTTACCTACCTCACAGGGCGTCTGTTGTGGGGAGGGGAAGGAGCTTGTAAGCCGCTCTGAGACTCCTTTGGGTAGTGAAGGGCGGGGTATAAATCCAATCTCTTCTTCATCCCCAAATTTCCAGGAGTTTTCCGACCTGGGTCTGGCAACTGTATTCCCTCCTTCTCCTCTTTAGTTCTCTCTCCCTCCTCTTTCCTGGTGTGTTTATTGAATTACTCCTCCTCTCCCCTACACTTGGGCCTCCTCTGTTTTCTCTGGCTCTGCCTTCTAAGGTAGCCATTTTGCGGTTGGCTCCTACAGCAGCCATTTCGGAGTTGCACCCGCTGCCTTGTGCCGGAATCCCTCAGGTGCCCACACGCACAAAAAGGTTGGGGAGCCCTGCAACAGGGGATAGTGTAGAGGTTAAGAGCGCAGACTCTAATCTGAGAGGACCGGGTTTGATTCCCCACTCCTTCACATGCAGCTGCTGGTGTGACCTTGGGTCAGCCGCAAGTTCTCTCAGAGCTTTTTTTCTCTTTCTCTCTTTTAATAAAAAGATTTTATTAGTTTTCTACACAGAAAAAAGAAAAGCAACAACTGCGGACAAGAAGAAACGAACAAACAACAAACATGGAGCATGTACTCAGCAACAACTGCGGACAAGAAGAAACAAACAAACAACAAACTTGGAGCATGTACTCAATAGTACTGCTTAAATTTTACATAGATAGAATCATTCTTTTATACACCTACCGTAAACCAGTTTAACCATTTGAAATGTAGAGCATGTATCTGAATATTTATGTTGTACATCTTAGAGCTGTTCTCTCAAGGGCAGTCCTCGAAAGAGCTCTCTCAGCCCCACCTCCCTCACAGGGTGTCTGTTGTGGGGAGGGGAAGGGAAAGGAGTTTGTAAGCCGCTCTGAGACTCCAAGTGAAGGGCGGGGTATAAATCCAACCTCTTCTTCTTAGCACATGAGTTGTTGAAGGGGGGGGTCACTTGTGGGGACGCGCTTCTTCATAAACAGCCCCTTCCCCAATGTGCAAAAGTGTTTTCTTTTTAATTTGCTGTGAGGTTCCCCCCCGCCCCGCCATGGAATGTTCTAGCAATGGTAGCCTGAAGTAGGCATTGCTGGGTTTTGTGCCTCACATGATTGTGAACCAGGTGTCTTTGGACGCTCGCAGAGAGGGTGTGAACAGAAATAGCCCCTCCTCTGTTCGTCCCTGGATTCTGCTAATCGGTGTATGCTGCTCCTGAGCATGGAGGCTTCACTTGCAGCACTGAGTCAGCTAATAGCTATTGCTCGGCTAGTACTTCTCAAACCTGTCTCATTTGGGGTTTTTTTTAAGCTGCCTGCCTAGTCACCGTCACAACATCCTGTGGCAAGGAATTCCACTCGTTTAATTATAAGCTGGATGAGGGAAGCGCTTCCTGAAAGTTGCCTTGAACCTGAACTCGGCCTGGTTCGCTGCATAACCTCAGCTTAACGTCTAACAGGTTCTGTTTCACCGTTTGCGCTCCCCCGCCCTCGATCATAATTATATTCTCTCTTTCCTCTCAGGCGTGCGTGAATGCCGTCGCGCACCGTGCCACTTGATTCATAACTCACAACTTGCTTTTTGATGCGAGCGTCAAAGTGGCTCGGATGCTTCCGTAACTGAAATCTGTGATTGGGTACACTTTTCGTTCAAGGCACTCGGATTACCAGAGACGTGTAAAAATGTTGAAACAAAAAATAAACACATCCATTTTTTAATCCTTTCCTTCCTCCAAGGTTCCCTCATGCCTGGTTCCCCCCACATTAACACTCTTACAGTATCTCCCTGATGCCTGCCCTTCCCACTTTCGCCGCCTGTTACACATTAGCACTAGAACAGTATACAGAACCATATTGCACAACCTCTATCATCTGGCAATAAAAGTAATGACCAGTTGCTCGCAGGCCAGATAAAAGCCCCGGGTGGGCCGATTCCGGCCTCCGGGGCCGTATTTTTGACACCCCTGTGACAGAGGTTTATTTATTTGATTTATACCCCGCTCTCCTGTAGAGAGTTGACAAAGAGAACTTTTTCTCTCCCTCTCCCAAAGTATTAGAACTCGAGGGCCTCGAATGAAGCTGATGGGCAGTAGGTTCAGGATGGAAAAAAGGAAATACTACTTTACATGGAGAGTGATGAAAATGTGGAATTTTGCTGCCAGAGGATGCAGTCATAGCCACAGGAATAAACAGCTTCACAAAGGGATTAGATGGATTCATGGAGTACAGGTCCCATGTTGGCTGAGGGGATCCTCCACATTCAGAGACACTTCCTAGCACATTCAGAGACACTAAATCTCTGAATCCTAGTGCCAGGAAGCAACATCAGGGAAAGGTCACGGCCTCTCTGCCCTGTTGTTGGCCCTCCAGAGGAACTGGTTGGCCACTGAGACACATGGTGCCAGACAAAATGGACCACCGGTCTGATCCAGCAGGGCTCTTCTGATGGTCTTCAACCTGGAACATACATAACTGTGCTGCCCCCCCCCCCCGCATTTTTCTCCCTTTCCTAGTCCGTTTCAGCAACCAAGCCTGGATGGATTCTTCCTCCACGTAGGCCGCATGGCTAAGAGAGCCCTTTGGAGAAATCCAGGGGACACTCGAGGGGCATCCGCTACCTTTCCGGTGACTCTCTCTCTCTTTTTCTCTTTGTTGGCAGGATTTGTGGTGGGCCAAGCTGGATTATACCAATCCCTCGGGATGTTCGTGGTAGCGTACTTCATCATTGGCATGACGGTCCTGTCGGTGTGCGCCATCTCTACCAACGGGGCCTTGGATGCTGGCGGTGCTTATTGTATCCTTCCTATCAGCAGGGCTCTTTTTGTAGAAAAAGCCCAGCAGGAACTCATTAGCATAATAGGCCACACCCAACAGCAGAAACTCATTAGCATATTAGGCCACACCCCTGACAGCACAGCTCATTAGCCCATTAGGCCGCACCCCCATGTTGCCAGAAGTGTGGTCATCCAGCCACATCCACCTTTTGCTTCTTATTCTGTTTACCTTGTTTGTTGTCAAAACCCAGGGCCCTTTTTTGTAGCAGGGACTCCTTTGCATGTTAGGCCACACACCCCTAATGTAGCCAATCCTAATGAGTCTCTGCTGTTGGATGTGGCCTATTATGCTAATGAGTTCCTGCTGGGCGTGCCCAACTTGGGAGCCAGCCGGACCTCCGTTCCTGTGCGTTCCTGCCCAAAAATAGCCCTGCCTATCTGTGCAAAAGATAATTTTTTAAAAAACCACGTACTGGTAGTAATTCGTTATTTATTTATTTATTTATTATATTTATACCCCGCCCATCCTGCAAACAGGCTCAGGGCGGCTAACAAGAGCGGTACAATGTACCTAATTGGCATAACCATAAAAATTTAAAACGACATAAAATACATACTCATTCATATTACATAAGAACAGGGGTCATTTCGTAGAAAAAGAGGTGCAGGAGCTCATTAGCAAAACTTATTTGTATGTGCCACACCCCCTGACATCACAGGAAGTGTGTCAGAAGGCAACACCCACCGCTCAGGCTCCACTGGACTGCTTTGGATTGCTAGCTATTGGGGGGGGGGACGTCCAGATCTGCCCTCACAGAGGGGGGAGAGCTTGTACCTGAATAAAACTTGGTCTTAAAGGTGCCACTGGACTGTTTTGGATTGCTA